GTACTGAAGGTTCATTGCGCCCGCGCCTCACATGCTCCTTTGTCAACCACGGGACTCATCAGTGAGGTAGGGTTGACTCAATGAGGACAAAGTGGTGGGAGGAAGGGGATCGACGAAAAAGAGAAAGTGTTTGAACGGCTGGGAAAGTATAAGTATCGATCCAGCATTTTGAGCGTCCACCAGCTATAATCTCGTGCTCGCTGAAAGTGTAACCAGCGCTCTGGACGCTCGCGCTCAAAACGATGGTGGAAGCTCGAACGCGAGATCGATACTTATACTTTCCTAGTCGCCCGATACGGTCGCTGACGCAAAGTATGAACGCACTCGACTCGCATCGATCGGGGCCGGCCGCTAGTGTTTTGGGAGAGTATAGAAGATATTAGAGCACCAGACTGTGTGCTAGGGCAACGCGTTTACTCCTATTCGCCCCTACTCTCTCGAAGCAGTAGCGGTAGCGGATCGACAGCCCTCTATGGCTGCGCGTCTACGTCTTGAAGTATGAACGATGCCTTAGCTATATAAGTCTACTGGAACTGACCGTTAAATCTCTTCTCGTAAGCCTCTTCCTCACGGAACTTCTGGACTTCTTCCATTTGCTTTCGGTATGCTCCAGTTACAAATACCTGAAATGAAATTCGAAACTACGATACTGTAACAGAACGTTTGACCGTTGTGATACTCAAGTCGCAGAAATCAGATAATTCACGCAAGTTGCGAGTGATAGGTATTAGACTAACCTCTTTGTCAGCAAATTCATCTCCTTCTTGTGCTCTCTCCTTCTGCTGCAGTCGTTCTTCCCTGCTTTGCTGTTCTAGTTCTCTTCTCTTGTGTGCTTTGATTATATCCAACGCATACTTTGATTTTCGCTCCTTGTCAGCCTTCTTTCGCTCGGCAATCTGAAAATGTAATTGCATTATAATAGAAGAAACTGAAGCAGTGACGTAATAGGAGCAAAAAGTCACTGGAGTAGCAAACGTAAAAGCAAAACCGAATCGGAAAAACTGCTTTTTTAAATTCATAACTTCGCTACAAGTACTTGAACGATGCACAGAAGGACGTACTTTTTCATCACGGTGCAGCTTGTATTTGCTCATAGCTAGCATCGTAGTCAAAGATCGTAGGATCTTCGGCTATTGCCATCTCTTGAAGTCGTTCAGCATGTTTTTGGACTCGAAGCGTGGAGGCTGATTGAATTTTGCCTGAGACGTCAACCTGCAAGCATAGGATTTTCCAAAGCCAACAGAGCAAATCTGAGACTGTCCTCGCGATGAAATCGAACACGGTTCAGAATCATTGCTCTTGTGCCTGATTTCGAGCACAAGGAGTGAGTGAGCACCGTTATAGAATCCATCAAAGACATCTTCCGGAAGCTTTCCAATGAATATTGATTTCTGCTTTCCAATAAATATTCATTTTCTAATTCCGATATCTTACAGAGTAAAGCAGCGTTCAGACTTCGCGACGCACGCTTCAGTTTGATGTTGACCTATGACGCGATCGATGCAGTTAAAAGCGTGGGCATCGATCGCGCCGATCGCGCGACCGAGGTGCTGCCATCGCGAAGTCTGAACGCTACATATCCCGAGACACTGAGCATCTGACAGCGAGCCGACTTTGTCCGCTTTGTAAAGGAGATCGGACCAATTGCCCCACATTCCTTAAAGTTCAAACAAATTTTGGCGCTAGTCCAGTACAGGTTCGCATTTCAGTGCTAAGAATGTGCATTATTACATGCCGTGACGTCATATGACGCCTCAATGACAAGGAATTTGGTTTTTAAAAATGAACCCTTCCCGAGCTGTTTCCTCGGTTTTTATGCTGTACGGTATTCAGGAGGTGGGTACAATTGTTGAGGAAATTTCCCGGTTCTTCTCGGAACAACTACGCTTCCTATGCCCTGTAAACCATAGGAAGCCCTGCTCTTGACAAGAATCTACAGGTCTTACCAGAGTGAAACGTGTAAATTAACAGCAACCAGCAAGAGAAACTAGCGAACTAGAAAAATGCCCCCTCCCCAAGCCGATAGCGTTGATCAAAATAATACCTTTTCAGAATCGTCGTCATCATCTGCAAAAATGCTAGCTGCTGGACGGACAAGTGTCTTCTCGGTTTTCTTTGTCAGAACCAACCCATACTGCCTGAAAGTCACAATATTACTAGATGCGAATCTTTTCTATAAAAAGGAAAAGTAACAAGTCTTTTGAGGATCAAGCACGAGAGTGAAGTTAATAAACTTCCTGAAAGGGCGAAAACCCACTTCTTTTTGAGATCCGTTGACATGTTTCGGATCTGCAATAATAATACTCCAACACGCTGTTTTGAACAAGTTGTTACAAGAGTGAAGTAATTTTGCATGAGTAAGCCATAAGTACGACATTTAAATTACTACTACTACAACTCTTGCAAATATTTATTATTACCATTATTATACAAACACCGTACACATATAGTTTCATAGACTATGAGAGAAGCAGCCATGTGAAAACCCAGGGATAAGACTAAAGGACTAAGGATACTGTTAAGAAATAAGTGGGTCAAAGAAAATGTCAGCTTGCGTTCATACTTTGCGTCAACAATTTGAGCGTACGGCAGAGTTTTCTGGGTAGTTTTGAACTTTTCGCGGGCAGTCGCTGAACAACAGACTGACGCAAAGTATGAATGCAGCATTAGAAGGAATTACAACGCTTCGAATTAGCGCTAGTGTAGCTAGGGGTTAAAACTCAACCAATGTTTATAAATTAAAAACGGCACA